TACATATATATATATACACACACACAGACCGCTACAGATCTTTCCTGCCCACAGCCATCAGCATCTACAATAAGTTTTTAGTTGAATGAGTTACAACAACACCTAATTTCCCTCTGGGATCAATAAAGTATTTTTGAATTGAATTGAATTAAAGAACAGTGGGTTGAAAACAGTGCAGGAAAATAAGTAAACTCGCATGAAACCTATGTGATGTAACTGTAACTTTTGGCAGCATGAAGGTCCTGGGTATAATTCCCGGTTCAGATCTGGGCTCATTCCATGCAGAGTTTGTATGTTCTCCTTGTGCTTGCATGGGTTTTCTCCAGGTACTCTGGTTTCCTCCCACAAATAAAAAAAAATGTACAATAGGTTGCCTTCAGGTCCAGGCCTCCCTTGCAAAACAGATAGGATTTGCCTGGTTAAAAAAAAAGGTCAGAATAAGATCTTTTTTTTTGTCTTTCAGTCCAAAGACATAGCCCACATTTGGGAGCTTGGAGGAGGAACTTCTTTGTCAGACTTGATCCAGATTCCCATTACTCCTGCCAATATGAGGTTGGTTACTTTTATTTATTTATTTTTTTTGAGAACTTAACAGAAAAAAAAAACAGCACTACCATATCACTTACATCTGTCTTTTTTTTTAGGTCTTTTTCTGTTATCCTCCTTCTGGACCTGTCTAAACCCAACAGTCTGTGGGGGACCATGGAGAAGCTGTTACAGGCAGCACAAACTCATCTGGAGAAAGTCTTCTCCCAGGTGCAACAAGCACAGAAGTCCAAACCTGGAGCCAAACACCAGAGGCCTGTCCAGTCAGCAGCTCGAGTCTTACCTAGAGACTACCCTGTAAGACCTGAGCTCGCTGTTTTATTTGCTTGATTTTTATTTGTAGTGCAGAGATCAGCAAGTGCATTTAAACCAATTTTGTCTCAAACTTTGAGAAATTAATAGTTAAAGTAAAACGTTAAAAGCTCAGTATTGCTAACCAAAACTAAAAAGCAGCTGTATTTTGGAAAAAGTAGATCTCACCATGCAGAATTTAAAAATCAGGGCCTGTATTTATAAAACTTCTTAGAATTACTCTTAAGAATGCTGCTAAGAGGGGACTTAAGTGTAAAAATTTTCTTAGTTAAAAGCTGAGAGTAAAAGTCAGTTATCAAGCATCTCAGTCTTACTTTAAGGGAAGTGTAGGAGTCAGTCTTAGAGCTGATTTGCGACACCTGGCTGTGCCGCAAAGCTGATCCTGGATGACGTCGTTAGAAAAACCCCAGCATGGACCAATCACTGCCTCGGATTTCATCTTCAAGAATATTGTTGGAGAAATGGCAAGATAAAACTGAAAATCCTAAGTTCACTTTCAGCACACTAATGTTGTCACCTTGTACTGATTGTCTGTCAATTACATAAAATGTTCTCATTTGCATAATGAGAAGTTTTTTTAAATCAAAAACTCAGCAGCTTTAAAGTTTTATGTCTCAGAGCCTGAGGTAATGTTGAGCAGCTCCCTTCTCCACTTCGCCACTGTCAGACAACACCGACTTCACACACACATGCACGCACACACAACCCCGCTCCGTCATTAACAGCTTTGTCCGAGAGGAGCGCGCACCTCAGACCTCTAGTAGCAACTCTTAACCACTTAAGAGTCCTCTGGAGCAGTCTTAACTTTTCTTGAGAGTAAGAGTGATTCTTAGACTTAAGAATTTTGATAACTGGCACTTACACTTAAGTCTGAGAGTAGGAGCAAATCTAAGAAAATTTCAGCACTTAAGTCTAAAAATCCACTCAAGAAGTTTTATGAATACGGGCCCAGTTATTTAAGGAAGTTTTATTTTAGGGTTTATCTGTGATTCTTTCCACAGGACAGAGAACTGGTCAGTCCCTTTCCTGTTCCGCTGCTCATCGTTGGCAGCAAATATGACCTCTTTCAGGTAAAACAATAAAAGCTTTATTTTTTTCTGTGTAGCTGGTTTAAAACAGATTTGCTCTTTACTGTCTGTAATTTGTGAAATTAAAAAATATATAACTTTTTTAAACTTTACAGTCACTGTTTGTAATAACCGGATTAATCCCTGGATAAATTACATGCAGCCTTGTGTAATTGCTGTGAAAATAAAATGACTTTTTTTTCTCAACTATGTTGCAGGAACTTGACTCCGATAAGAAGAAAGTGATTAGTAAAACCCTGCGCTTTGTTGCACACTATTACGCCGCCTCTCTAATAGTAGGTGCAACACAGTTAAATATGCTGAATTTGATCTTTTTTTTCTAGCTACGGTTGTACTAAATTGTTTTTAGTTACTCCATGTCCATGTGTCAAATCTTTTATTAGTTCACAAGCAATAAATCAGAGAGCCTGATGTCAAAAATAAAGAGCTTCTTCTCCCATCTGGCATTTGGTCTGGACAGAGGGTAAGAAGAAAATAAATGGTTAAACTGTCTAAAAGACTTTAGTTTGTTTCTGTTGCATTTTACAGAAACTATTGCTGCAACTTGGTGTAGTTGCTGTAAATAAAGGCATGCAACACAGTAGTAAAATACATAATAATATACATATATATATTTATATATATTATGTGTGTGTGTTTACCTTTTGTTTTAAAGAAAAACCATGTCCTGTGACACCGGTAAGCCTCTCATCATTTCAGCAGGCTCAGACTCTTTCAACCAAATAGGTGAGCACAGCACCACCTGCTGGTTAAATCTAATAGCGCATTTAAACAAACAAGCCATAAAACAGATAACTTTTACTTCACTTTTAGTTTACTGTAAACTCCATATTTTAAACCAACTTATATTTTGACATTTACTGACATGAACAGAATAAAGTATGATTAAAATATTGTTCTTATGATTTTAGGCTCCCCTCCTGTCAGTGATGTGGACATAACTTCTCTGCATACAAAAACCCCCAAAGATCTGTGGAAGAAAGTGTTCGAGCGAGTTTTTCCCAATGAGGTAGTTTGTTTTTCTCTGACGACACATTAATCTGTTTTATATTAGAAATTTGATGTTGATTTAATCCCTAAAAGTCCCAGATTAAATCTGTTCTTTCTTAATAAGTTTGCCATACATTAATCAGAGCATTTCATTTTCAGTGTGTTTGGGTAACTTTTTCTTTCTTATTTTTTTTCTGTGCAGAGTATCGATGAGCAAAGGGAACTGAAGGACCCAACCAAAGACCCTCAGTACAGTGAGCCTCAGATTGATGCCATGAGAGCACAAAAAGACCAGGTAACATATCTTTCACTTAAAAATTGTTTTTACAATATTTTTTTCAACACAAGCACTTTATGTTCAGGTTTTTAGACAAACATGAATCAAGTCATCAATAATTTCTGCTCACTTAATTCGGCTGTGCGTCCCTAAACGTTTTTAATGTCAAGGACAGCAAACATTGATAGATAAAAAAAAATATAAATGAATTTAAAGGAAAACAGAAGAAAAAAGCATCACAGTGATAGTTTTGTGAATACGTTGTTGCTGCTAGGTTTAGAGGATTTGCTCATCCTGGTAACTTTTACTCATCGTTAAGGCGATGTTTTATATTTGATACAAAATCAAATATAAAACAAGCAAATTTGAATTCACCACATCTAAAAAAAAGGCACATTTTTGCCAGGGCCCGACAAGAATATTGATCTAAAGAAACCTTTTGTCCTGCAGTAACCTGAACACAGTGGAGTTTCCGTGACGGTCTCATTAAATGACTGGAATAATATCCTGTAGTCATAAAATCAGATTATTTATCTTCTCGCTGGCCTGCTGTGGCTCCACTCTGCCAGATGAACTGCAGTAACCTGTTAGTGGCCAACACAAACCACACGCCGTTATCTCTGAACCACTCTCACCTGATTTCTGATTCTTTTTTTTTTTTTTTTGCTTTGTCATTATCTGACACATGACGTGAAAGGTCTGAGGAGCCTGAAGGGAAAAAAAACATCAGATTTAGTTTTTCTGCATTTTTTATTACTCGCATTATTTTTCTACGTGTTTAAAACTGATTTGTATTTTTTTTTTCTTGTGTGTGTTTGCAGGAGTTGGAGCAGTATAAGAGGAACGCAGCAAAGTCATGGAAAGGAATTAAGCTGGAGACATGAGAGAACTTTATTACACAAATTCATGTATACTCAGTTTGCATATTATTTATTTTCTGCTCTGTACGCTTTTATTTTGTAATACATTCACCATTTAATTAGCTAAATGAAGAAAATTGTCTTTTTTCATTTAGGTTCTAGAAAAAAAAATTTTTACAGTAAAAAAAGAACTGATACAGATCCTAATTTACTGCCAATATTTAAACTCTGTGTCACACAGTTGGTTATCAGGAGATGTTGGAAAGTCTGAACTGACGGTCTTGCTCACACCTTTGCACACTGATTGAGTTATCGGTATTCCATCACCGAGCACTTTACCTTCTCACCTGTTGGACTGGATCCATATTTAAACTACATCGTCTTTTTGATCTCACCCACACTTGCGTGACTGCGTTTTGTCCTCAATTTAGTATTATTGTTGATAAAGTCAGTTCACGGACGTTCAAATGACAGATATTCACTCCTAACAAAAGCAGTGAAACACAGGTCGCACACATTAGATTTATATACAGTGAGTAGTAAAAAAAATTCTAATTCCATTTCCATCACATTTCAAATTAGAAATAAAGTGCAGCTTTTATTTTTTAACAGAACCTAGGTTTGCGGCTTTAGTGATGCACAAGCTTGTCTCTGATCTTGAAGCCAATAATTCCCATCAGAACCAAGGCAGGGAGGAAGGAGTAGAGGAGAATAAAGTCCAGTAAGTATCGAGACAGAGCTCCAGGGTAACCCTCATCAATGATCTGGTTGCCTTTAATGATCATACAGGCTCCTGGTAAAAGTTTCGTTACATCTAGAACAACACAGAACACATGGAGGATTAAGACGTTTTTTTTTTTAAAATGCAGGTTCAGATTTTTACAGAAGAGGATTAGGACTACAGAGCAAAATATATATTTATATTAATATTTTTTCTCAAAATTTTGAGTTTTTATCTCAGAATCCTGACATTAAAGTCAGAGCTCAGGGAAAAAAAAATATTTTTTTGCTGTGTGACCCTAATCTTCTTCCGTATATCTTTTTTAAAGAAGCTTGCAGTCTGAGTTACAGTGTGTTCCAGGCGTCCCTGAACATTGAACTCATATCTAATCTGCCTTAATATCAAAAGTTACACAAGAATCACAAGAGAATGAGAGCCAACAAATATGAATGTTGCTCCTTTTTCTATCTACTAAATATATGTGTGTATATTTATATAATAATGATAATGGATTCTATTTATAGGGCACTTTACATGAGTAAATTCTCAAAGTGCTGTACATCTCAAAAGTAATAAAAACAATGGAAATAAATAAAAAAAATCCCTAAAATCAGTTAGATTATTTGTAGTTGCTTTTCATTTGCAGGCAGAAACACAGGATTGTGTTGTGGTGAAGTCAACTTACTGCAGGTGAAATCCAGATTGTAGAACTCTGTGACGATGAGCAGCTCACAGCTGTACTTCTGGAAGGTCAGGTAACTCAGCCACTGAAACACTACGGGCATCTGCTGGATACTTCTGTTGAGAGGAGAGGATTGAAATGTTCATTCGCTGCTGTAACTCCTTCACTGTCATTAAAAACTTAAAATGTCCTATTTATGAATAACTTAAGTTGTATTAAAGAGTCCGGATGTGTCTAACCTAAGGAAGCCGGATCCCACCAGGATTCCTGCAATATTGAGTAAAGCTACTCCAGTGTTGACCATGTTTGGGTCTTGGACCACCGCTAAAAGCACCACGGTCAACAACTCCCCTGATAAAAAGAAAAACAACCTGAAAATATGACATTTAATGGTTCTGCTCAAGCCAAACCTCCATTTTTAAAAACATTTGTGTTTTTTTTTTAAAGAAAAAAAAAACAGCTGTAGAAAACATCTCACAGATGTGCAGAAATCTAATTTCAACCTTCACCTGGTTGGCTCACCTATAACATGTGGCACCAGAATCACAGCAGTGAAACACAAGAAGCGCAGACTCTCTGGGTTCATCCCTATCGTCCTGAGAATCAGCAACAAACATGGTTAAAAAAAACCCTAATAATAAAATATTTCATACCTATTGTTAACCCACCAATAAAGAAACGAGCAGAAGATGACGATGCTCAAAGTGCTGAAGGGCAGGATGTGGAGGACGTAGGCCAAGAACATTTGCCATTTGTGATAGAGACCATCCTGACTCTCCTGATCACTGATGGCTCGCAGCGCAGGGACTAATAATGGAAACAAAACAAAAAATTAGACAGAAAGTAGAGAAAAACTATTTAGGTACATTTTTGTGCCTAATTGAGGGATTGTTTGACATTACAATGAAATTATTTGTCTTGAAAACCAATTAAACACCAAAGACACCTGTTCAAAAAAGCTTGTATTCTGGATTTACTAAACTGGTTTCTATGTAAAATGCAGTTCAGTAAAATCCATAGACTTAAATACAGCGGGAATTGAACACGTCACTATTTTTCTCAGTAAATATATTACTAGAGGTGCTAATGACATGAAATTTTCACCAGATGTTGGTAACAACCCAAGTGATCCATACATACAAAT